TACATTAGCGATCGTTTGTCTGTGGGAATGGTGTTATAGAGGGGAGGCAATAACAACAACAACAACAATAATGATAACAATAACAAAATAATAACAGTTACATAGATAGGCAATTTTATGGTAATTTACAATACACACAGACGGAACTACAAATGTTAATCGCCCAGACACCGTGATCTAATACCACAAAGAAAAAAAAACAGGATGTCCTTTCTTATTGATACGGCGGTTCCTCCAAATTGCAAAGTATCTTTGAAGGTCTTCGGAAAAAACAATACAGGGATCTTCTAGTGGAAAACTCAAAAATGTGGCAAATGAGAACATTAATAATTCCAATTGTAGTTGGAGCCCTCGGGTTGATTAGAAATGATTCTGATAGTTTCATTGAAAGGATTTCTGGTAGACATTGCCGTAAAGAAATACAAGAAAAATGTATTCGTAAGTGCAGCTCACATATTGCGAATTGTTTTATCTATGTAAAATATGTGTGATCTTTTTTACAAAAATGATCATTGGATAACGTTATGAAGCCATTTCTGAACTTAGATCTCTGGTTGAAACACGGAAGTATATGTGTATACAACAGAAATAAAAGGCAATAATAATAATAATAATAATAATAATAATAATAATAATAAAGCTCTAACAAAATCCCTAAAATGGAAATTCCCAGAAAATGACAAGAGGTCCAATTTTTGGCTCTATCATCAGACATTAATCCTTAAAACCCTGGCAAAGACTTTATCAATGATAATTAATAATCCCAATTAATCCCAGAATAGTTTACTCTGAAGGTGCAATAGATGATCCGAAAAATTATAGGCCAGTAACATGTCTCCCCACCACATATAAATTGATTACTTCTGTCTTGATAAACCGTACATACTTTCTTCTCGATGAAAACAACATTCTTCCCTTGGAACAGAAAGGATGTGGGAGGGATTCATATAGTTGCAAAGATAAAGTATTGATGAACAAAATGATCCTGGAAATTTGCAGGAAAAGAGGTAAAAATCGTATGGATAGATTACCGTAGACTCTTTGATAGTGTGCCACACTCTTGAATCCTTAAAGCTTTGGAAATATACAAAGTCCATTTGGGGATCGTAAGTCTCCTTAAATGCAGCATGGGAGTGTAGAAAACCACCTTAAACCCAAGCCACACCAGAGGAATTGACACTTCCAATGTAGTGAATATCCAACGACGAATCTTTTAAGGAGACTCCTTGTCACCCTTTTTGTCTTAACTTCAAATGAACTAAACAATAATAGCTATCGACACAAACTAAACAAGAAAGCATTTAAACAACTACTCTATATTGGATGATCTCAACATCTTTGCCAAAGACGACAATGTGTTGAAGGCTCACTTCAATACTGTAAAATGTTTCAGTGACGACATATGTATGGATTTAGGATTGCAAAAATGTGCAAAGGCAATATTCAAGAAAGGTAGAATTAGAGAAACACTCACAATAGATTTACATTTTGTCACAAATATTAGGGAACTGAAACTAGAGGCTTATAGGTGTCAACGGATTAGCGAAGGAGATAGAATGCAGCATATCGAAATGACAAAGAAATAACAAAAGAATACTACAGACTTGTGCCTCAAGTAATGAATACCGAGTCGAATTCGCAAAACAGTATATCAGCCATAAACACCATGGTTGTACGTGTGGTGCTATACCGTTTTAACATTGTTAACTGAACCATAGTTGACATTAAGAAAATGGACGACAAAACAAGAAAGCTTTTAACTTGTCATCGCATGCATCACCACAAGAGTGTTGCTTATCGTCTGTATTTATCCAGATCAGAAGGAGGCAGAGGAATAGTTTAACTAGAACTGTCATACAAAACTTCAACAATCGGCCTTCAAAAATACCTGGAAACGACAGAAGACTGGTAGGTGATATGTGTCAAAGAACATGAAAGAAATAGGGAACCTTATTCAGTAATAAAGTAAGCCAACAATTTCAAAACAGAATTTGAGGTGGATGAAGAAATGCAAGTAAAACATAATACAACTATTTCAACAGTAAAACCCTTAAAAATCTAAGCAATTGAACCGACCAGATACAGAAAAGATGGCAAGATAAATGTCATATTGGTTAATAATCTGCTCGCATCAAAAAAGCTGATGCAGACAAACCACGTACACATCAGTGGCTCCGTAGTTCAGGGTTAAGAAATGAAACCGAAGGTTTTATCTTGCTACACAGAACGAACGCTTGTTTACTAGAAATTACCAAGCCCACATACTGAAAAATTGTGTTAGCCCAATATGCATATTATGTGATGAATATCCAGAAACGGTTGACCATCCTTTATCAGGTTTCACAGGAATGACACCCATTGAATATAAAACACGGCATGACTTACGGGGCCAACATCTGCGTTGGAAAATAGGAAACTTTTTTGGAAACGAATCTGCAAGAAATTGTTATGAAGACCACTCAGACCCAGTCACAGACATGAGAACTGTAACAATTTTATGGTATTTTGCAATACACATGAAGAGAAAATTCAAAGCTAATTGACCAGATATTGTGATCAGAGATCCCAAAACAAAATGTGCCTTTTAATCGACATGATAGTCTATGCAGATTGTAATGTATCTTTTGAAAGTCTTCAATAACTTCAATATAAGAACCTTGAATTAGAAATCTCAAAAATGTGGCGCTTGAAGGCATCAACAATTCCAGTTGTATTTGGCACCCCACTCGGATTGATTGAAAAAGGTTCCGACAGACTCATTGAAGAGATTCCTGTTTGCCCAAACCTTAAAGAAATGCAAAAAAAAAAAAAAAAAAAATTACCCAAAAGCACTGCCCAAAACCTTATGAAAGGCTTGATCTATGTAAAATGTGTTTTATCTTACGGGTTTTATTCCGCTAGAAACGCTAAGTGGAAAATGTCATGAGGCCATTTCTGACCTTAGGTCTCTCGTTGGGACCTGGAAAGAAATGAGTATACAACAGAAATCAAAGATGGTAATAATAATAATAATAATAATATTCTATGAGACTACACAATACACACTGACAGAACAATCAAAGCCAACCGACCACAAACAAAAAAAAGTGCCTCCTTATTGATATGGCAGTCCCTGCTGACTACAATGTATCTTTGAATATATTCAAAAAGCTGTCAAAATACAAAGACCTTGAAATAGAAATCTCGAAAATGTGGCATATGGAAACATCAACAATCCCTGTTGTAGTTGGAGCCCTAGGACTGGTTGGAAAACATTGCAGTAGACAAATTGAAGGGATTCCTGGAAGTCCATGCCTCAAGGAGATAAAAAAAATTGTTCTGACAAGTACAGCCCACACTTTACGAAGGGCTTTATCTATGTATTTTTTTTTCTTTTTGTCAGTGGAAAGTGTCATGATGCCATTTCTAACCTTAGGTCCCTGGGCGGAAAGAAATGTGTAAACGCCAGAAATCAAAGAAAATAAAAACAATAATAATAATAATGTCTGTTTTAATTTGAAACAAATTCATATTGAAAATGTAATAAAGTAATCTGCAGTTCAGACTGACACCAGACTTAGCTTACCGTGTTTCATAACCCCCCCACAAAAAAATAGGTGTTACTCTGATTAATGAAATAAATTCAGGGGAGTTGTAAAATGAAATTGCTTCAAAAAACACTGAGAGCCCACACTTTATCAGAGCCATTCTCTCGTGCCACCCCTTCTGATCTTTACAGATAAATCCGGCTTTGCTACGCCCAACAGGTTTCAACACCTTTATTCTATACGTATTGCATTGGTAAGAAGGATATTCCCCTACGAAAGCTTCTTACCAAGAAACGCTACTTTGTGTCATTGCGTGTATACTTCCCCGAATATTGTTAACCTCTTCAGGTCTACGATCAATAGTTCTTTGTCTTTCATATCCCTATAATATTCAATTCTTATTCCTTTCTGTTACGTTCATATCGCACAATAAATTCATTTACTCTCTTCCTTGTATGGCTCTTGAGTCATTTATTGGATGGACTTCACTTTAAAAAATACGGTTTTCTAGCGTAGAATATTACAAATACAGACATGTCTGTTTTTAATCTCATACAGGATCAAGAAAAATCAAATATAGCAACAATATACAAATGTTGTCCAACACATTCAACAGAAGAAAAGACCTAAAACAACGAGTAATATCAGCTAATAGTTCATTTGATACAGTGAGTAGAAATATGTTGAACCATGACGTCTTGATAGCTGTCAATGGAAGCAGTTCGAAAAACGTCGAGAATTGTTTGTCCAAATTCTGGGTATATATGTATATATATATATATATATATATATATATATATATATATATATATATATATGGATCTCCAGCACCCTAAGATAGTATTCCATGTCTAATATAAAACGCTGTGTTTCTGTGTTTCGATTGAGAAGCAACAGGAGGAATCATTATCGACAATGTGCATTACAGGCTGACATGTTCCAGTACCTAAATTCAAGCCAACAATGAAGAAATGGAGACGCCATTGTCGATGATGGAGGGTTACTCTTGACTGAATGATGGATAGATACATATGAAGGAAACTATGACAGTGATCTTACTAGATCGATTGATTCCCGCATAGAAAGAGTCAAAGTGGGATAAGTAGGTAATTGGGCTTTCAGTTGGAGAAATAATAACAAAAAAGAATCGACAAAAAAAGAAAATTTGAAAATTAGTGGTGCAGAGTGGGAAATAAAATACAGGTAAAATGTCGAAAACTTTTCTATTTTTTCTTGCTCTTCTTTCTTTCTTCTTTTTATTTTTCATTAATTGTGTAATTTCCCTTTCACTCTTCCTTTCCTTCATTTTCTTTCTTTCATTTTCTTTCTTTCTTTTCGGTTTTCTTCCTTTTAATTTTCTTCAATTCCGTAATTTTCCTTTCTTTCCTTCTTTCTTTCTTATTCTTCCTATCATTTTTCTTGAATTCCGTAATTCTTTCTTTCTTTCTTTCTTTCTTTTTTCTTTCTTTCTTTATGCTATTTCCCTTTCTTGCTTCCTTTCCTGTTTTCCTCTTTCTTTCATTTTCTTTCTTCCTTTTCTTTTTTCTTCCTTTTCTTTTTCTTGAACTCCGTAATTCTTTCTTTCTTTCTTTCTTTCTTTCTTTCTTTTTTCTTTCTTTCTTTATGCAATTTCCCTTTCTTGTCTCCTTTCCTGTTTTCCTCTTTCTTTCATTTTCTTTCTTCCTTTTATTTTTCTTGAATTCCGTAATTCTTTTTCTTTCTTTCTTTTCTTTCTTTCTTTCTTTCTTTCTTTCTTTCTTTCTTTCTTTATCCAATTTCACTTTCTTGCTTCCTTTCCTGTTTTCTTCTTTCTTTCATTTTCTTTCTTTCTTTTCTTTTTTCTTCCTTTTATTTTTCTTGAATTCCGCAATTCTTTCTTTCTTTATTTCTTTCTTTTTCTTCGTTGCATTTTTCTTGAATTCCGTAATTTTTCTTTCTTTATTTCTTTCTTCCATTTTTTTTAAATTATATACTTTACATTTCTTTCGTCCTTCCATTACTGCTTTCTTTCATCTACTTTCTTTCTTATCTTTTTTTGTCTTTTTTCCTTCCTTTAATTTTTTTTGAATTCGGTAATTTCCCTTTCTTTCTTTCTTTTTTTTTTCTTTCTTTCTTTCTTTCTTTCTTTCTCCGTAATTTGTTTGTTTCTTTATTTATGCTTTCTTTCTTAGCATATTTCGCGTTTTTTCTTTGTTTTCACTTCTTCGTCTGTTCGTTTATTTTATTGTATTGTGACAGTTTCTCATCTAATTACCTTTTCTCGTTATCGGGATGATTATCTCTTTTCTTGATGACAGACTGAACTGAAAATTATCGAGAAGGGAAAATGATGAAGACATTTTCATGGCGAGTATGAAAGAAAAAAAACCGTAGGCAAATTAGAAAATGAAAGGAACAAACCATACAAAGATTAACTCAAACGAGAAAATGTACTTGACATATACAAAAGAAATAAAGAAAATAGTACTCCAGGAGGGCAGACGAAAATGAAAGAAAAAAGGTAAAGGGCAAAGAAAAAAAGGATTAAGTAAGGATAACTGCCAAAAGAATCAAAGAAAAAAAGACAGGAAAAGATAAAGAAAGAAATCAAAAATAAATACAAAAGGTAGGGAGTGGAGAATGAAGGAAATAATATAAAGTGAAAAGAAAGACAGAATAAAGAAGGTAGGGATAACTGTCGAAAAAGAGAAAGATTTAAAGTAATATAGAAAGAAAGATAAAAATAAATACGAGTGGTAGGAAGCGGAGAGAGAAGAAATAATGTAAAGTGAAAGAAAGAAAGAAAGAAAGAAAGAAAGAAAGAAAGAAAGAAAGAAGGTAAGGATTAGTGTCGAAAAAAAGAAAGATTTAAATAATAGAGAAAGAAAGACAAAAATAAATACGAGTGGTAGGAAGTGGAGAAAGAAGGAAATAATGTAAAGTGAAAGAAAGAAAAAGAAAGAAAGTATAAAGAAAAGATAACGGTCGAAAAAAAGAAAGATTTAAAAAGTAATATAGAAAGAAAGAAAAAATAAATACGAGTGGTAGGAAGTGGAGAGAAGGAAATAATATAAAGTGAAAGAAAGAAAGAAAAAAAAGAAAGAAAGAAAGAAAGAAAGAAAAGAAGGTAAGGATTACTGTCGAAAAAAAGAAAGATTTAAATAATAGAGAAAGAAAGACAAAAATAAATACCAGTGGTAGGAAGTGGAGAGAGAAGAAAATAATATAAAGCGAAAGAAAGAAAGAAAGAAAGAAAGAAAGAAAGAAAGAAAGAAAGAAAGAAAAAAGAAAGAAAGTATAAAGAAGTTAAGGATTACTGTCGAAAAAAAGAAAGATTTAAATAATAGAGAAAGAAAGACAAAAATAAATACGAGTGGTAGGAAGTGGAGAGAGAAGAAAATAATGTAAAGCGAAAGAAAGAAAGAAAGAAAGAAAGAAAGAAAGAAAGAAAGAAAGAATAAAGAAGTTAAGGATTACTGTCGAAAAAAAGAAAGATTTAAATAATAGAGAAAGAAAGACAAAAATAAATACGAGTGGTAGGAAGTGGAGAGAGAAGGAAATAATATAAAGTGATAGAAAGAAAGAAAGAAAGAAAGAAAGAAAGAAAGAAAGAAAGAAAGAAAGAATAAAGAAGTTAAGGATTACTGTCGAAAAAAAGAAAGATTTAAATAATAGAGAAAGAAAGACAAAAATAAATACGAGTGGTAGGAAGTGGAGAGAGAAGAAAATAATGTAAAGCGAAAGAAAGAAAGAAAGAAAGAAAGAAAGAAAGAAAGAAAGAAAGAAAGAATAAAGAAGTTAAGGATTACTGTCGAAAAAAAGAAAGATTTAATGTAATATAGAAAGAAAGACAAAAATAAATACGAGTGGTAGGAAGTGGAGAGAGAAGAAAATAATGTAAAGTAAAAAGAAAGAAAGAAAAAAAAAAGAAAGAAAGAAAGAAAGAAAGAAAGAAAGAAAGAAAGAAAGAATGAAGAAGTTAAGGATTACTGTCGAAAAAAAGAAAGATTTAAAGTAATATAGAAAGAAAGACAAAAATAAATACGAGTGGTATGAAGTGGAGAGAGAAGAAAATAATGTAAAGCGAAAGAAAGAAAGAAAGAAAGAAAGAAAGAAAGAAAGAAAGAAAGAATGAAGAAGTTAAGGATTACTGTCGAAAAAAAGAAAGATTTAAAGTAATATAGAAAGAAAGACAAAAATAAAGAAGTGGTAGGAAGTGGAGAGAGAAGAAAATAATGTAAAGCGAAAGAAAGAAAGAAAGAAAGAAAGATAGAAAAAAGAAAGAATGAAGAAGTTAAGGATTACTGTCGAAAAAAAGAAAGATTTAAAGTAATATAGAAAGAAAGACAAAAATAAATACGAGTGGTAGAAAGTGGAGAGAGAAGGAAATAATATAAAGTGAAAGAAAGAAAGAAAGAAAGAAAGAAAGAAAGAAAGTATAAAGAAGGTAGGGATAACTGTCGAAAAAAGAAAGATTTAAAGTAATATAGAAAGAAAGATAAAAATAAATACGAGTGGTAGGAAGTGGAGAGAGAAGGAAATAATATAAAGTGAAAGAAAGAAAGAAAGAAAGAATGAAAGAAAGAAAGAAAGAAAGAAAGAAAGAAAGAAAGAAAGAATAAAGAAGGTAAGGATAACTGTCGAAAAAAAGAAAGATTTAAAGTAATATAGAAAGAAAGACAAAAATAAATACGAGTGGTAGGAAGTGGAGAGAGAAGGAAATAATATAAAGTGATAGAAAGAAAGAAAGAAAGAAAGAAGGTAAGGATTACTGTCGAAAAAAAGATAGATTTAAATAATATAGAAAGAAAGACAAAAATAAATACGAGTGGTAGGAAGTGGAGAGAGAAGGAAATAATATAAAGTGAAAGAAAGAAAGAAAGAAAGAAAGAAAGAAAGAAAGAAAGAAAGAAAGAAAGAAGGTAAGGATTACTGACGAAAATAAGATAGATTTAAATAATATAGAAAGAAAGACAAAAATAAAGGGTGGTAGGAAGTGGAGAGAGAAGGAAATAATATAAAGTGAAAGAAAGAAAGAAAGAAAGAAAGAAAGAAAGAAAGAAGGTAAGGATTACTGTCGAAAAAAAAGATAGATTTAAATAATATAGAAAGAAAGACAAAAATAAATACGAGTGGTAGGAAGTGGAGAGAGAAGAAAATAATGTAAAGCGAAAGAAAGAAAGAAAGAAAGAAAGAAAGAAAGAAGGTAAGGATTACTGTCGAAAAAAAGATAGATTTAAATAATATAGAAAGAAAGACAAAAATAAATACGAGTGGTAGGAAGTGGAGAGAGAAGGAAATAATATAAAGTGAAAGAAAGAAAGAAAGAAAGAAAGAAAGAAAGAAAGAAAGAAGGTAAGGATTACTGTCGAAAAAAAAGATAGATTTAAATAATATAGAAAGAAAGACAAAAATAAATACGAGTGGTAGGAAGTGGAGAGAGAAGGAAATAATATAAAGTGAAAAGAAAGAAAGAAAGAAAGAAAGAAAGAACGAAAGAAAGGAAGAAAGAAAGAAAGAAAGAAAGAAAGAAAAAGGTAAGGATTACTGTCGAAAAAAAGATAGATTTAAATAATATAGAAAGAAAGACAGAAATAAATACGAGTGGTAGGAAGTGGAGAGAGAAGGAAATAACGTAAAGTGAAAGAAAGAAAGAAAGAAAGAAAGAAAGAAAGAAAGAAAGAAAGAATAAAGAAGTTAAGGATAACTGTCGAAAAAAAGAAAGATTTAAAGTAATATAGAAAGAAAGACAAAAATAAATACGAGTGGTAGGAAGGAGAGAGAAGAAATAATGTAAAAGTGAAAGAAAGAAAGAAAGAAAGAAAGAAAGAAAGAAAGAAAAAGAAAGAATAAAGAAGTTAAGGATTACTGTCGAAAAAAAAAGAAAGATTTAAAGTAATATAGAAAGAAAGACAAAAATAAATACGAGTGGTAGGAAGTGGAGAGAGAAGGAAATAATGTAAAGTGAAAGAAAGAAAGAAAGAAAGAAAGAAAGAAAGAAAGAAAGAAAGAAGGTGAGCATAACTGTCGAAAAAAGAGAAAGATTTAAAGTAATATAGAAAGAAAGACAAAAATAAATACGAGTGGTAGGAAGTAGAGAGAGAAGGAAATAATGTAAAGTGAAAGAAAGAAAGAAAGAAACGAAGAAAGAAAGAAAGAAAGAAAGAAAGAAAGAAAGAAGGTGAGGATAACTGTCGAAAAAAGAGAAAGATTTAAAGTAATATAGCAAGAAAGACAAAAATAAATACGAGTGGTAGGAAGTGGAGAGAGAAGGAAATAATGTTAAGTGAAAGAAAGAAGAGAAGGAAATAATGTAAAGTAAAAGAAAGAAATAAAGAATAAAGAAGGTAAGGATAACTGTCAAAAAAGAAAAAAAGTTTTAAAGTGATATAGAAAGAAATACAAAAAGTACGATTGGTTGGAATTGGAGAGAGAAGGAAATAATGTAGAGTGAAAAGAAAGACAGAGTAAAGAAGGTAAGAATACGTGTCAAAAGAAGAAAAAAGAAAGAAAGATAGAAAAAGATGTAGAAAGACAGACAAAAATAAATACGAGAGGTAGGAAATGGAGAGAGAAGGAAATTATGTAAACAGTAGTGAAAGGAAAGAATTAACAAAGAAGATAAGAATAACTATCAAAGAAATAAAGAAAAGTAAATAATGGAAGAATTACCCGGAATAAATAAAAAAACGAAAATAGAAAAGTGGCGAAAATAAATAAATATGTAAGAGAACACAATAGAAAATAGAGAAGGAAGCAAAATTTAACAAAAAAAAAAACACACCAAAAAACAAAAGAAAAACAAACAATGCGACCTAAATTAATGAAACAAATGAAGTGAATAAAATAAAAAGAAAACACAGATGCAAGAGAATGAAACGATAAAAGAATAATCGAATAAAAAACGAACATAAAAGTAAGAATGAAAAAAGAAAGAAAATACATCTTTTCATGAAAAAGAAAAAGAAAAAGAGAATAAACAACTATAATACAAAGAAGCCCTTAAAATGGAGCGAAGAAAAAGATGAATATCAAAATGACAAAAGAACCTAGAACGAATAAACGCTAAAGCTAAAGGCTGTAATAACAAAATTGTGTCACATTTATTTTCTACGTATTCATGATTTTATTGAATGATTTTTTGAAATCCTTGTCAGCAGAAGATTGCTATCAAATCGCGCGCAAATTTCGCGTCTCACAAACAATTTCTCAACAAAAGAAATGGATGCAAGCCGTGTGTTATTTGCGTTTGCCTTCGTGTGCGCATGCGTAAACGCGTGTTAATGTTTTCATGCAAAACATTTCTGTAAGGAAACATGTTTGACGTGTGTTAAGAGATTTTCCGCATCAGGTGTTCTGACGAATTTTAATTGAACAAATGAAGCAAGAAATCTTTTGAAATAACAATGTCTTACACGGTTCGTCCGATTACTTCTTCAACCACGAACATTTTCTTTTCTTCGCTGCTTATTCTTTACTCATTTGTATTATCTTCCTGATACTAATTGCTAATTTTCTCCTCCTCCACCTCCATTTTTCGTTTGTTATGTCTAACTTCTTTTCTCACTTTGCTACACTGTCGTTCAACTTTCTGTTTCTATTGGAAAACCATTCTTTTTTTTTTGTATTGATAGCTTTCATTTTTATCGATAGTTCGTCATATGTTTTCGTTCGCAGCATTCTTTTACTTTTTCTCTGAATTCTTTTTCTCGTATTCTTCCGTATTGTACTGCTATCTTCTTCCTTTTTTTTATATTCGGTAAACTTATTATTCGAATCCTTTCTGCAATATTGCTTTTATTTTTATTTATTAAGTTCTTTTATCCCATATTCCTCTACATTCTTCTTTTCATATTTCCATATTATCTTTTCGTTTACTTCAAATTCTATTTGTATCATATTTTTCAAACTATTTATGTTCCTATTCTCTTACATTCTGTTCTTTATTTCCTTCAAATTCAATTATAATCAAATTCCTGTATCTTTGTCACTTCGTATTTCCTTATTATTTTCTTCAAATTCTATTATTCTGATATTCCGGTACATTACTCTTTCTATTCTTCTATATTAGTTGTTGCTTCAAATGCAATTATTTTCATATCCTTCACTTATATCCTTCACTTTCTCAGCTTTCTATTCCGCTATCATCTTTACTTTTCCTTCTTATTCTATTAATCTGATATTCCTTTACATTATTCCATTTCTATTCTTCTATTATTTTTCCTCCAAATTTTATTATTCTTATATCGTCCACCTTCTCCTCATTCTATTCCTCTATCTTATTTTCTTTTCCTTCACATTCTATTGATTTGATATTCCGTTATATTATTTACTCACAAAACTATTATTCTTACATTCTTTCATTTTCAATTCTTCCTGTACTGTCTAGTTTATTTTCCTTCGAATTTTAATATTCTGATATCCCATAGTATGATTTTGTATCTCTTTTACATATTTTTTTTTCTTTCAAATATATTTTTTCTTTCAAATTCCATTATTCTTACAACCTCAACCTTATTCTCTTCCTATTTAATCAGCTATCGTCTTTTTTTTCTCCGAATTATATTATTCTGTTATTCTGTTACATTCTTCTATTCCTATTCTTTTATCAAAGTTTCTTTGCAATTCTACTATTCTCATATTCTTCCATTTTATTCTCTTCCTATTATTCTGTATTTCCTTCAAATTATAATATTCTGATATTCCCTTACATTATTCTTTTCCTCTTTCTCCATATTATTTTCCTCCAAATTATAATATTCTCATAACCTCAAACTTTTTCCCTTCCTATTTCTCTATCTTCAGTCTTTCCTTTACATTCTGTTATTCTCATATTCCGCAATCTTCTCCTCTTCCTATTATTTCATATATTCTTTTTCTTCAAATTCTATTATTCTCATATTCCATTACATTCTTCTCAATTTTAATTTTCCTTCAAATCTATCATTTCTATATTTACTATCGCCTTTTTTTTCGTTTTCTTTAATTAAATTTCTAATTTACTGATAGTCGTCCATTTTCATTTAATCTTCTATTAGTTCCCTATGTTTTTATTACTTTCTTTTTGTTCCTTGAACGTTTCCCTTCATTTACAACGATTTTCGTGTACTATTCTCCAACCCCATCCTTTGAATCAAATTTTCTCAATTATTCATCCTCCTTCTATTTCTATACCACCCTTTTCTCTACATCCAGATTCTTTTTCTCCTATACCTTCTGCTATTTGAAATCTGCTACCATTCTTACTTTTCTGCATTTGCTCGTCCTCATCCGCTATCTCTTTTCGTTTTCTCCGCTAACTGCCCTTTATAGTCCGCAGCATTTTTCTTTTTCACCTCTCTTTTCTATTTCTCGTAATCGTCAGCCTTCTTATTTAATCGTCCATAAAGTTATTTTCCACCATCTTCTTTCTCTTATTACTCTCCTGTGTTCTGTTGATAACTGTCCCTCAGTTGCCCTACGTTTCTTTATATTCACCTCTGTTCTTTGAATTCCGTCAGCTTATTTCACTTTCCTACTATTCATAATGTTTCATATGCCTCCATTTGTTTCTGCTTTTCCTCTTCTGTACATTTCGTTTCCTTTTCGTCTCCTGTTGTTTGCTTTCTTCCGCATATTTCTACTCGTCTTTTCCCGTGATTTTGATAACATTTCTTCTTGTTTTGTTTTTAATGTTTTTTTTTCTGTTCTCGTTCCTCCAACATCTTTTAGTAAAATCTTTCTATTAATTATTTCAATAATATTTCGTTCATTATGCATATCCTCTAGCTTTTTATCCAAAAATGATTTTCGTTCTTTTCGCTATCATTTGCTTTCTTCTTCTTTGTTCATTTCATTTCCTTTCCTTTCATCTTTGTCTTTTTCGCGATTAGCATCATCATTCACTTTTCATTCATTTCCTTCCTAATTCCTTTCCGCCATTATCATCTTGAACCTTTTTCTGTAACTTCTGTAACTTCCTTTGCTTTCTTATAGTTTTTTGCTCTTTCTTATAATTACTGTTCATTTTTAATATTTCACCTTTCTTTCTTCATCGCCATTTGCATCACTGTTTTCTTCTCGTTCATTGGCTTCTCATCTGGCAAATCTTTACATAATCTTTTTTTTTCTTGAACTGAAAATTCTTCCGTTTTTTTTTTTTTTTACTCTCCTTTATTTTATTTTCTATCACTTGTTATTCTCTTTTTAATTAATCCTGTCCATTTTCCTCTTCCCTACTTCCGCCTCTATTGATATTCCCCTCTTTGTTTTCTTGTAGTTCACAGTCCTCTCCTCTCTCTCTCGCTCTCTCTCTCTGTCTGTCTCTTCGTCTCTTCATCATCTACTTCTTAAACTATTTCCGTCATCTTGTTCACATCGTTTTTCTCTTCCTTGTCATTTTTCTTATTTTCCCTAATTTTACTACAATTTTTTTATTATTATTAGTTTTCTAAGTTTTCTCTTCATCCATTTTTAACCTGCCACATTATTTATATTTTCCCATTATTTATATATATTCCCTTTGCAAAACTATCCTTTTTATCGTTATAGTTATTTTAGCTATTTTTCTTTTCTTCTTGATGTCTATTCATGATAATCAATTCGTAAGATTTTTTTTTTTCTGATCACGTTTATGAATGTTTAATGCTTAAGAAAAAACAAAGTCTCGAGTTGGTATAACATGAAATTTATTCGACTTAAACTGCAACTGCTAAAACACAACGAAAAATATTCAAAGTAACAACAAACAATATGGCAGCAATAATTATTAATTTAATTAAAGTCTTTCATTATTTTTTTTATCATTTTTCTTTTACAAATAACCAGGGTTTGCAATAGTAATTGTAAAGGCAGAAAATATTTGTTGAGAGCAGCTGGAAAATTTCAATATCTCTTTATTATTTTTTTCAAATTAATGTTTACTTTTGCGCTTGATATCAGCTGTTTGTAAAGTCTAATTTTAGAAGTTTATATCCATTGTAAAACAGCGTACATACGTTCGGAAATATACGATAAGATACAAATACAAGTACATATGTAAGATGAACAGGGAAACATTTGGCCTTACACGTACCCAATAAACCACCAGAAACTTATTAATTTCCCCTTAATTTATGTATCATCTCCCTAAAACTGCTTTAATTAGATTTTGAAGTGAGTATCTAAGTTTTGTTTAGTCTGGCACATTTGTTTTACTACTTATTTTATTAAAATAACGTCAAGATAATGCTCAAGACCCAGTCAAGATAAAAGGTTACAGTTTAAGAGCTAAGGGACACAGATTATGAGGATATGTGAGGAAGATGGCGACTAACCCTAGACTTGGACAAATTAAGATTGTACTGATCGGGAAATCATCGAGTTGTGGCCGCTTTCACAAAATAGCAATGTTGGGGAAGAAGATATACATTTCAGCGATTCCTTCACTTTTCATAATTTGTGACTTCTAAAGAAATATATATGAACGTTTTTTCATGGCCTTTCCTCGTGGTTTTGAATTCCACTTGAATTTAATAAAGGTTTCTTGTGAAGAAGCTGTCCGAGTGAAACATATTCTCAGCAAAGAAATACGAAAAGAATGAGTGTGGTTTGATACTGTTGTTGTAGGATCCACCTAATTTGCATAGTGGAGTACCGATCATATAAATATGGTTGGTACCGGGAAGAGAGGGAGGAATCAAGAGATTCAACCAGAGACTCTGCCCGACTGCGACTCAGTCAACACATTCTCCAGGAACGGTCTTACCAGGAATATACAAAAGACTATATGTAAATATTGTGTGCACTTTCTTGTTCAATACATTTTGTTCTAAGTACATTTTGTGTTGCATTATTATTCCATGCATTAGTCAATTTTCAACAGATACAATGTGCATGGCAGATCTTAGTTAGAACTAGTGGAATTAAGAAATGTAGCTAGTCTGAACATTTTCCACAGAAATAGCGATAGAGTAGAGAAATGCTTGCAATGATTCGTCTGTAGGATATGGGTTGTAGGGGGAAAAGTAGTTCATCACCCACAAAGCCGCATAGACGTTTTTGGACTCTGGCAAGACTGTAAATTATCCCATTGTGTCTTAGTGTCTTTACAGCCTTACATGGGGTGAAATGAATAGAAAAGAAAAAGTGTATTATTGATTAAACGCATAGCTGGGTGGAAAAGAGGTGTATTCATATATTTTCCCAAGAGTATTTGCGAGTAAATGAATATAACGAACCCAACTGAAATTGAAACTAGGTTCGATGAGGCATTATCAATTAGATCAGCTTCATATCCAAGCTTAAACAACCACTTATTCCCAATTGGTCACCCATCTATACAATTTTAAGTTGAATTTGGGACTAATAAATGTCATTTTGAGACTGAGCAAGTTTATAATGAAATAGCCAAGTTCAAAATGAAGTAGTCAATTTCAAAGTGGGATGTAGCGAATTCAAAATAGGATAGTCAAATTTCAAATGGATATAGTCAAATTGAAATTGGAACACAGAAAAATTCAAATTGGGACATAGCAAATTCAAAATGGAATAGTCAAATTCAAATTGGGATATAGCAAATTCAAAATGGAATAGTCAAATTCAAATTGGGATATAGCAAATTAAAAATGGAATAGTCAAATTCAAATTGGGATATAGCAAATTCAAAATGGAATAGTCAAATTCAAATTGGGATATAGCAAATTCAAAAATGGGATAGTCAAAATGGAATAGTCAAATTCAAATGGGATAGTCAAATCAAATAGCAAATTCAAAATGGAATAGTCAAATTCAAATTGGGATATAGCAAAATTCAAAATGGGATAAGTTCAAAATGGAATAGTCAAATTGGGATATAGCAAATCAAAATGGAATAGTCAAAAAATGGAATAGTCAAATTCAAATTGGGATATAGTCAAATTGAAATTGGGATAAATTCAAAATTGGATAGTCAAATTCAAATTCAAATCAAATTGGGATATAGCAAAAAATGGAATAGATATAGCAAATTCAAATGGAATAGTCAAATTAAAGCAAATTCAAAATGTAATAGTCAAAAATTCAAATTGGGATATAGCAAATTCAAAATGGAATAGTCAAATTCAAAATGGGACTAAGCAGATTCAAAATAAAATAGTCAAATTAAAAATGGAATAAGCAAATTTGATTTGGCACTTAGCAAGTTCAAAATGGTTTAGGCAAATTGAATTTGGGATTGAGCAATTATTTTGCTAAAAAAGACTTTAAAATTAAATATTTTCATGATAAAATAATAATGTTCAACTAAACTTTACTATTGAAATGTTTTATCTTCTAGGAGCAATCAATAAATCAAGAAAATTCATGAAAGGCGCTTAAAATCTCTAACTATATATTTTTCTTAAACTCTGTCTTTATATATGCATTCAGTATTTCCTTGCTCCTTTTTCTTAGGACTTTTGAGATTTGCCCTGTTACCCACCCCCATATCATTTCATTTTGAATATCGCTCTCTTTTTTAACACTATATACAGTCTATCCATCTCTTTCTTTCTTCTCTTCTCCCTGATTGTCTTACCAATGCAAGCGCCAGAAACTCTAACTTTGACACAAATTTATCCGTTCAACTATAGCCTCTTGCAAGGAATTGATAGTAAAGTCTCCGTAACGCTGAGCTCCAATTTTTAATTGTCTGATTTACTGCCCAGTTGATTTTTTTTTAATCCATGATATTTGTTTATTGAAATATGAATAGCTTTGTAAAAATAACGTAATTGATGCATATTTATAGTAGAAATACCAAAAATAAATATTATAGCAAAATGACCAACAATATATTATATCTGTATTTGTAGCCATAAGGCTATATTCAAAATATTTGTATACCGGCATTAATAACCCATATAAGTTACCAGGAGATATATATATATATATATATATATATATATATATATATATATATATATATAATATGCCGCTAAACAAAATCAAACGAAACCATTATGCCTTGGGACTTTGAGCTAACAAAATCATAGACGGCTTCTGTATAGTTCCGTAAAAATTTATTTTCACTCACAAGATTTGAGCTAACAGGTGGTGTAGTTTTCAGTCAATTTTCAACTCGACCGGACGCTGACATCGCTACCGGAGGCTGATAGGATCAAGAGGTCAACTCTCTAACAACTCTCTTCTGAGCGTGATGCTGATATTCAGAACTCACTCTCTCTCTCTTTCTCTCTCTCCCCCCTCTCTCTCTACCGTGTGTAATAGCAAAATTGTCAAAATAGTGTAACAGCAAAATTGGCCACTTGTTAGATTAAGATTTGAACCGTTCTATCTTACAAATGATTAAAGATATCTTATTGGAATTCCCCAAGATTTTTATAGCATAATTGGACTCTACTTTAAGCAATAAGAATGTATAATTACTCCCCAAGCTTAACAGAAGAATCCTGATGAAATTGATAAATATAATTACCATGTTAATCATTAATTGAACGTAACCGGAAGCTCATGAAGGATTGAAATAAAGTATATATATATTATTACAGGATCATTTTCCAACTTATTCAAGATGATCTTCGTCCTCTCTAATCTTCTATCTTTCTGTCCAATGTCTTATGGATTGACTAGGATCTTTTCTAATTGATCTCTTTAGCACTAAGTTGAAATGATGATCCCACTTGTTGTGATCCAGTTTATCTTTCTACTGATCTGTTTTTAAAACATATTCACCGTTCCCTTGATGGTTCTTGAATGGACTTTGAAGATGGAAGCCAGAGTATGAATGTTGGTAACATTACTGAAGGCCTGAATGATCTTTTTGTCTCACCATTGATCAATAGACATAGTTTTGTTGACACAAAATGATTTTAACCTGTTCTCTTTCTAGCTGAATAACTCAAAGGCTTTTTCAGTGATTCTCACAATAAATGGTGTCAAAATGGCTAAACGTTTTATCTGGAAACATGAAAAAAAGAAACTTAATTAGCTTAGTGTTTTTTTAGATATTAAATATTTTATAGAATGGAGAATTATGCTGTAACAATTTTGCTATTACACACGTTGAGTATATATATATATATATATATATATATATATATATATATATATAGAGAGAGAGAGAGAGAGGGGGAGGGAGGCAGGGAGGGTAGCTGCGGTGGAATAGTGAATAGCGGATCGATTTGAGGAATCGGAGAGCCGAGTTCGAATTCCAGTCGAGTGCATTTTATTCACTTACGTGCTAATATCCTTGGGAAAGGTAATAATCCGCTTGTTCTCTCTCCAGCTATGGGCAAATAACTGGACAGACTGCGTTCTATAGCTTTGGATGGCAACTGGTCTAGGAGAAAAAGAACTCTGATTTCAAAACCTTGCTGGTGGTTGTTTACGTACCTTGTGGTACGTAGTTTGCCAGCTCCCTTTATTCGGCACTTCAAAACATGTGGTTGTTTTTGCAAAAGCCTTCACTATTATAATAAAATCAATTGTACTGGTG